CAGTATGGTTAATTTTTTAAATTTATTGAAAAAAGACACTATCAATTCCCATGGTAAATTCAAATTAAAATTGTTATTTCATGGAAAAATGTATTTAATTCATGTGACAGAGAAATCTACATAACTTGAGGAAAGCAGCCAATTTATGTCTTTTAAGCATATTGTCAAGACAATTTTATTGTACTCATGAGAATATTTCTGCTGAAATTATGCATACTGCCCTAAAAGCAATAAATGTTGAGCAATATTTAACTTAGAGGTAAAGAACCAATTAATATTTGTACTGCTAAGCATGCATTTATTCATTTTTGTATTTCTTTTTTTTTTGCTCTTCATGTATTTACCCTGTCATAAGAATAGATGAAAAAGATGTAAGTAGGACTTAGGAAGTGTCCCCTGATAAACTACTCAAAGCTTTTATAATAAATCAGATTTGAGATGTACAGAAAATAGCACTAATGCATTTATCATGAATCCTTTAGAAAGAATCAAAAAATAGGATCTCAGCTCTAGTTGTCCTAAAATCAGTGAGGAAATTGCCACTGTTCTCAGAGGGAAGATTGGAATGTAYAGTGAATTCTTGTACTCCAGACTTTGATAATAACAGAAGTTAAAACTGGCATGATTTTTGCCCTTTTTACATGAATGTATATCACTTAGAATGGAGTGGATTCTGGTTTTGGTTGATGTGAAAGAGAAGGGAAGCTAATTACATCCACGGAATCATCCCACCATTCTGTAATAATGTTATTGAGAAAACATTTATGGRGTGGGCTGGAAGTCAGTGCAAGCCTAATGCTAAGAAGCTTAAAATGAACATGATTGATTCAAATGGGACTGTTAACTTTATATGGAAAACTGTGATTATGCAATCAAATCCATGTAGGGAGCCTTGATACACACATCAGAAAATCTACTAACAACACTGGGAGCTGAATATTAGCTACCTTTAATCTGTTTCTTCTACAAAATTGAATGGAAGCATTTAAAAGTCTCATGTTAGAGATTAAAAAAAACCCAAACAACCCACCAAAACCCACAGAAAAGCCCMAGAACAAAMCAAATTTWAAAAAAGCTTAACAACGCAAGCAAAAAAGAAAACCAAACCTAAGCATAAACATACCACCACCACCAAAGTAAATAAATGCATACATAGATACGTACATACATACTTACAAACATATATAAAAGCAAATGAAAACCAAAACACCAAAACAGTGGAATTTAGGCAGTGGAAATGTTTGAGTATTTTATTCAGAAGCCCTTAAGCAAATATAAATGTGCYTAGATCAACTACGTATTGGCATGCAAATGAAGCTCACTTAAAAAAAAATAATAGTTCCTACTCTGAATACTAACTAATACCTTACAGACCATAAAAAAGCCTTAAGCATCTGGTGGAGTTAATTGGGGTGTAGTCATGAAACATATCTCTTTTTCTGACATGTGCTGTAGCCTGCAGTTTTCACARGGGAGGATAAATTTCAGCATGTTTCTTATAATGTAATTTTAGCCTTTTAAATTTACTCTTTCCAATTCAAATTCGTAATCTTAAGTGTTCTGTAGGTTAACGTTTTAAACTATAAGTGCTCAAGATCAAATCTGTGCTCTGAGCAATGGCTGTGAGGGTGCTGTCAAYTCTAAGTAGGCAGCTCCTGTATTTTTCACTCACAAGCAGAGGTGCGGAATAGCTTTCAAGATACACTTTGCATTTATTTTTCCTGCTGGTGAAGTTTTCATGGACTCACATTTCTGTTCCATATAGCTCCAAAGTATGTAACTCCAGAATATATTTGCCACAGGATTGTCCTGGATGTGAATCCCCTCCTGCAGTTATTTCTTTCTGTTTTCTTTACAGGGATCCTACCATGAGTAGCTTTCCAACTCTAATAATAATCTAAATTAGGTGTGATGGATCTGGGACAAATAACTCTTGTGACGCTAAGAGTTTTCTTTTGTTTTTGCTGGCAAAGCATTTAAGCATGAACTTTTTTACTGCTCAATAAAGCAGTTAATCATATTTTAAAATATAAGCCTGGGTCGAAGTGTGTGATTGAATCAGATCCTTTGAAGTTCACTGACCTGTAGTAAATTGGGAATTTTCATAGCTGATTGCACAATTAAACTTTGGCTTCAGGGCACATTTAGATTTAAATTTCTCATTAGAAAGTAATTCTGAAGAAAGGGTTTTTTCTTTGACAAATGCAAAAAAGCTGTGAACAGGTTAAACAAAAATTTTCTTTTGCAATTAAAACCAAACTTATGCATGATTTTTCTCATTTATTTCTTTCCTTCAGGTGGAAGTATATTGGTTCATAGCTTAATATCCAGTTCATCTTTGAACCTTCTTACACCYTTTCTAGGTTCTGCTCATATTAAAAAAATACCTTTTTTTAGTTTGTCCCAGTCTCTTATAAATTATCTTAAAAAAGATAAAGGGAGACAGCAACATGGATAGAGTTATGTTCTACAAAATCCTATTAGAACTGAAAGATCACTCTCTTGATGCTTGAAGTATTAAATTTGGCAACTACTGAATCCTTTTTCACACCAGTAAGTGTGAAGAAAGTGACTTTTATGGAAGGTAATTGAGGGCGGGAAGACAGGATTACAAAAAATAGACACTGAAAGGTCTATTCAATTACCAGGAATACCCCTCTGCTTATTGTAGCACACTCATTACTGCTGGAATGGTGATTGAGATTCCCAGCTGTCATATACTGCCAAAGCCCCACAGGAATCTGCAGTACTCCTTTGGTTCATGATATTTGAAGATTTGCCTCCAGATCTGATGATATAAAACCGTATCTGATGATAGAACATAATCTACGAATTGAAAACCTAATTTAATTTAATTCACGGTATTTATGTTGAAAAATAGGTGTCATAYTTTACAAGCTGGGCTTTGCCAGGAGCATTACAATAAAATGTGACTATTTATCTGTCTTGTTCTGTGCTGGATATGTTTTTAATGTTTTCCAGAGGAAGATAGTAAAGAGACATATTTCAAGATACAAATTCAGGGGCCTAGTGCATTGTCACTATCAAAAAGAGGATTTAGAGACTCTTCTTTGTGTATCAGATTTCAATTATGCTTCCTGTGGAGTCTGCATCCACAGTCAGACATAATTAATCCTCCATTCATACAGGATTTTGGAAATGGGAGATTTCTCTTTATTTTCTCTTAGAAAAGCCAGTGCTCCTCTGTCTGGGATTGATCTTTGCATTTCACTTGCAGGATTTTTGCTTAGGTAGCTGTAAGGCTGGAGCAGCAGAGGTACCCAATGTACTGAATAACTTCCTGAGATGTGGATCTGCCCACACTGGGTTTGGAGATCATGAGAACTTTGGGAAGACCAGGCCTTATTCTCCTGACCCATCTGGCTTGGGAAATTTGCAGTCAATTTGGAACGGGTTCCACCCCGTGAGCAGCAACCACATCCATCTGTTTCATCATGTAAAGAGCAGAGACAGACACTGGGATGGGGATGGTTGACACAGCGGAGCGTTATCCTGCATGGATGGTTGGGATGAGGGGTTTACACGGACACACRGCAGTGACAGCATCTCAAACCAACACTTCAGCCACAAACGACGTATGCAACGTGGTCGCACAACTGCACATCACACATACATGATGCAGAGATGGCTATGGAAAATACTCACTTTTTCACTCGATTCTGCTTCCTTTTGGCTTCTGCACCCCTTTGGTGCATAGCAGGGAAGTAGGTATTTGTGTTTAGTGGAAGAAATTACACTGACTAACATACATAAGCATTTTACTCATAAATTTATCATGGACTATTGCTGAGGAGACTGACAGACAGCCACTACAAATGGTGTGTTAAACATTTAATGAACCCAGGCTGAACTCCTGGCCCTGTTGAAGCCAATGGAAGTTTTCCATGTCAATTTTTTTTAGGGTGCAGTGAAGGTTTAGAAKGGGTGGCATTTTATGTGGGCTTCTAATTGTTAATCACTTAGTAGAAAATGAGAAATGATGCCTTAAACAGAGCATCTTTTTCCCGTGTGCAATTTCTTCACAGACATTAGAGTTCACCATGAACAAAACCTGGTGTTCAACAGGGGCTGAGGAGGAGGTGCCAGACCTGGTTTCCAAATTAGTAGATGGTATTTCTAGAATGTGTATTAGTGCAGCACATCTGCGATGCTCTGCTAGAGAAGTACGTGTTGGTGTGTGTGCATCTTAGGACTTTTCTAAAGTACAGTAGCTGTTATCCTAAATCRGGAGAGGAATAAAACGGGATTGTGGATTTCGTTTAAGGCTCTCACATAAAAATAACTTCCAGCAATTTCCATTCCCGATGAGCTGGAAGTATTTGTGCGCAGTAAATATTGGCAGTAAAGTAAAAGCTCTTGCCTGGGGAACAAATTCGTGTACGTGAGCAACATGAGGGAATAAAATTCACTCTCGTAACGAGAGTGCTCGGATTTACGGGAGTGTTCAGTCACTGTCTTTAAGAAACCAAGGGAACCACCAAATGTTTGGTGGCTACTCTGAGGTGTGTGTAAAGTTTGGTGTGGGACGTACATCCTTCCTTCGACTGAAGGTGCAGAAATGAAAGCAATGAGATGTGCAAAGTCACATATTCTGATCCAGATCAGGAGCAGAACCCCAGTGAGAGCTTAGGAATGGGATTTGAGAGATYGGAAATGACACTATTGTGAACTAATTCTTATTTTACATATGCACCGAATGGGGTATATTTTAATACATGAATTGCAAATAAGCACTCGCGGCATGAAAACTGATGGCATGAATYAAAACCGAGATATTAAACTGGCTTTAAGCAACTTTCTGGTAACTGAACTGCGCGGGGAGGGGGGGAGAAAAAAAAAATGCATTTTTGTTTAAATTTTCCCGTCAAAACATCTGAACCCCCATGATTTATCCCGGGCTATTTTCCCCGTTCAGTGAAGCACCGGGACGCGGCACCGGGGACCGGCCCAGCCCCCTCAGAGCCCCGCGCTCCGCCCACCTGGGATGCCACAGTGAGGAGGGGCTTTTCTTCTGCAGACTCCTCTCTCGGAATCTCCTTCATCACCATGGCCACAGCCTTATCGGCCGCCCTAGCGCCTTTGCCCTACAACAACAGCGAAACCAACAATGGAGCCAAGTCAGCAGCGGGCTCCGAKCGCCCCCCGCGCCCCCGCGCCCGCCCCGGCCCGGCGGGGCGCCTGGAGGCCGAGCCCGGCTGGAGGCAGGACACGCGCACTGTTTAAAAATAATAATAATAATAATGATAATAGTATAACAAATGGTCCGTGAACCCAGTGGTTAAGGAGACAGTTGGGGTCTAGCCGTGGTCTGGTGGCTCGGTAGAGTTGCCCCAATGAAGCCAACAGGAACCCGGCGCTTCCCKGCTGGAAGCGCCCCGGTGCCAATTTCTGCAGGATAGGATCCCCAGAGTAGTGAGGGCTGGAGGATCCGCCCCTTGATTTAATTTTTGTTACATAAAAGTTTATATCCAAAATAGGTCTTTGGTTTTTTTTGTGTTTTTTTTTTTTTTTTTTTTTTTTGCATTAAAAATAGCACCAAGCCAATTTTTACTTTTCCAAATAAAGCACAGTTCCTTATTGTTCACTGAGGCAAACTCCCTGAAATTTGAATGTATAATCTGGACCCACAGAGTTTTATAGCTCTAGTAACATTTTAAAAAGCAATTTACATCATATAAACAGTCTGGGTTTTTGCTAACAACATAYGGAGCCAAATTCTGCCATCGTAGGCATTGCTACAGCTCTCCTTAAAATGATCATTGCTGTTGAACTTAATGTAAGGATTTTTTTTTTAAACTTGACTTTTCTTAAATTTCACCTACTACATTGTAAATGTTCAGCACAAAACTGAGATATTTTAACATTATTTAATATAAATTAGCCAAACAAAAAGTGCACCAACATTATGTGCGGTACTGTTTGATGCCATTCTTTTTATTTAATGAGCGTCTTTATGATCTTGATTCTCATGGGTTTCTGGACCTTGATCTTTTGTCTTATTTTGATCTCTGCCTCTTGCAAGTGACAGAGAAGGTTGGAGCTTACACATAAAGCATCGCAGCAGAGCTGTGTTATGGCAYTGACCCTGGCCAGGTCCTTGTTATTACACTTTAAAAGCTCCCATTGATTTCCATGGACATTTTAGCTGTGCAAGGACTGCAGGATCTGGCTCCATAAAAGAAGTATTTTACACTGGACTTAAATATATTTAAATACTTAAAAGTCTGTTAACAGAAGGGGTTCTTTACTAAGACATCATATACAAGAATTACCTCCACTAGCAGTGTGTTCTGTGTCAGGTAACCCCCCACTACTGCTTATATTGAACTACAGTTTGTTTCAGAAACATTTCATCAATTGCAGGTAAAACCATTACGTACTATTGCAGGTTCTAAACAGATTTTATTACTGGTCAGGTCAATATTAGATTAGCTTGCTTGTGCAAAACATCACAGATACCCTACAGAGAGTTCTTTGCATGCTGCAAGAAATTCTCAGAGCAGAAGTGTCATAAATGATAAGCATGCTGGATTTGTGATGCCTTTGATATCCAAAGAACTGCAAAGTCATTGTAAAATTAAATATATTAAATTCAATGAGAATTACATTTAATTGGTAAGCATATCAAAGGTTCTGGGCCAATTACGTGTTTGTTCATGATTCATATGACATATTCCAGGTCTATGAAGTTTGTTTCCAGTATGACACATGAGCTATCATTAGCTAGTACTAATAGCATGCTATTGGTCTTTATATAATGTAGTCCTTTGGTGCTGAGTGCTAGGACAAAATATTTTATCAGCTAGGAAGGATGCATTGGAAAGCATGCAGTGCTTTTTATTTCTTGCAGAGAAAAACCCACCAAAGCAAAGGTCAGGTCACTTTTTTGAAGACAGAGCCACTTTTTCTTCAAGGTTTCACCTACTGCCTGAAAAGAGTCATGATACTCGTATTAGTGCCTGCTGTTCATCCTCCACACACGTAACTGCAAAGCCCTGGGAGTGGCTGACACCAAATATAAAATCTGTCTCACCAAAAGTGGCCATGCTGCAATGAAGAATAGCAACCCAAAGAATACCTCTGTGCTGTTTTTAAGGAGCAGACTTTGTTTATTAGCTAGGCAAAGCAAGTGGGTTGATGTTACCGTTTTAATTTTTTTTTTTAAGTTAGAACTTTAACTTTCCTAAAAGACTGTGTGTAAGTCAATTTGACATTTCTGGCTACTCAGCCTGTGGTACGTAAAACATCTTGAAAATAGAAGTTGATAGCAATTTCCTGGATACCAAAGAGAAAGTCAATGCACTGGAATAGCTTAAATTGTCAGATTCTGCTGGAGAGATACACAGGGGAGCAATTCACTGGAAAATGCAGGTTTTTATTCTGTTGACTAGAAATTAATATTGCTGTCCAGTGTAAAGTAGGTAAGCTTGAAAATTKTGGTCTCTCTTCACTGTAGTGACCACTATGTAGCCAATTCCTAGCTATGAACCAATTAGGCAGAAGAATTGGAGAGAAATAAAATCGKTTTTTCTGTGATCAGGATAACTTTGTTACTGTTGTGAACTGCAGCTGAAATTAAAATCTACAACACATTTATTCCAACAACTTTTGAAGAATTATTATTTCTTTAAGGAGCTGTTAACTTGGCCTCCTTCGATACTAAGTGTTGTTTCTCAGCAAGCCAAAGTGCTGTATAAATTTACCTGCTACAGAAGTTTATTGCTCAAACACTGTAATTCTCTAACAGCTAATTTTACACTTGCCAGGACTTAAAAATGAACAGTTTGTTGGTGGTGGAGATTTGCAAGGTAAGTTACTTTCTTATGTAAACCACAGTTTAACAATTCAGTAAATAAATTTTATCATTCCCTATTAGTTTGCAATATAGAAATGGAAACAATTGTAATGTAGAACATGACAGCCCATGTATGAATCATGACAAATGTGAATTGATGAAGGAAAAAATGTSTTATTTGTTTTAATGGAACATACTGCTTAAGCAAAACTGAGAAACGTGGCAGTATTTYGTTATTTGACACATTAAAAAAATTCAACAGTTCCTTTAGGTAATGTCTCCAAAGCAAAATAAGGAATAGAGTTCAGAGTATYCCCCTCATGCCAAATCTTTATATTAGCATTGGGTTCAAAACTCAACAACAATTTCTCTAGGCTTTTCCTTTGGGATTGGATAATGGATAGGAACAGACATTTCCAATAGGAGTATTCCTATTTAGCAGGATTTTGTAAAGAAATACTTTTTCTTCTGCTGCTGTTTCTGAATAGTTCCAAATTAAATTTTGAACAAGTCACACTATTTAGATGTGGTACTTAGTAATGAGTATTTAATTAAATTGCTGTGAGAGCACATTAATGTAAATTTCTAGGGCAGCATGAAGTTGATYTTTGTTTTTCTGTAAGTGATGCCTGTAGCTTTGTAATCATGCTCATGGATGATAAAGCTTTAAGTACTTGGGACCAGCTGATCACCTTCAGATCCTCATGGGCAGATCAGAATAAACACATGGTCAGACTTGAAACATTACTATTCAGTTCAATACTATATAATTCTGTCATTATTTTCTTCATTACAATGATTTGCAAATTTGTTCTTGCATATGAAAAGCCAACAGCCAATGCATTATAAATGTTTAACATTTTGACAACAGTATTTAAACTATAATGATTAATTGCAGAAATTCTTTGTTGTCATCTATGCAATAAAAGGATTTTATCTGAAACCATTTTATAATTAGAAGTTTGCTTCTGACAAATATTTAAGACACTTGAATACCAGGTACTTGAAAATATGAAGGTACTTGAATCCCAAATTCACTTCTCAGGAATATTTATAGTACCTATTCTTGTGAGAAAGTGAGCAGAAAGAAATTGAATGATCAGATTTTTTTTTTTATTATGTATACATGGAGAAAGTATTTAATCTTTACACAGACCTGTGCTGTTCCATTTGTTTTCCAAAGATCCTACCAAGCTGTTTCAGCTTTAACTGACACACTGCAATGCATTGCTGTTCACTGAGCTATGGGAAATCATCTCAACKTGGGCATGTTTGAATTTAAGCTTCTGTAAAATGCAAGTTTTAAGACAGCTTTCCTTGTAAAGGAATTTGATAGATAAAATAATTGGTTTTCAGACAGTGCTGGTGCAGGTATGACAGGGAGTACTGGTTTCATACCATCTCTCTTTCTATCTGAGGAGAAACAGGAACACCTTGCTGCATTTATGAATGTAATGTCAAAAAAGTGGCCACTTGTCCTGAACTTTCCCACCGGGCTATTAAATTGAAGTGTTTWAAATCAAAATATCATCAAACCCCACCAGTTCAGGATGTCTTGAAGTACCCATTTGCACTTTAAATATCTTTAATACGTTGAGAGGGGCTTATGAAAGATGCGTTATGAGAACTCTTAAGTTTTCATAGCTGTTGTCCTCCTGTGTTGGGAGGAAGAACAGGGAGAGCTGCTGAACATGTTGAATTTGGGAGGCTTGGCTGCTTTCCAGATCCCCCAGCAGCTGATGTATTAGAGTATCAGCTAAGCAGACTATTCAAAATGGCTGTATACTCCACAAATCTTCCTGTTTTGTGCAATTTAAAAAGAAAAATGAAGGGGAAGCTTGGCTTTATCTTTTTAAATTATGCAGTRCTTAGATTTTTACCTCTCAAAATGAACACACACAGCTATGTAATGGTACCATGGGAGTTACAGTGTCCACAATACAACTGTGGATTACATAGAATCTGTTTATTATTTCAAATTTTTCCTTCTCAGGCTTCTATGTTCATGTTCTTTGCATACGTCTTTCTTCTCATCTATACTTTTCTACTTTTTTTTTCTAGTGGTTTTATAGCTTGCATTTTACATATAATTAAAAATAATGAGAAACTTGCCTGGTGAGGCAGTTTTATGAACCAATACAAGATCGATATTTAAACAGAAAATTCTGTTTCATCAAAGCTCTTGGTAGTTTTTTATTGTAAGCCTAATAAAGTCATGTATATATCTAAGATAAATGGGAACATGATTCCTTTAGRCTGACTGTGGTGAGGAAAAGTGAACAAGCTCTCAGTCCTTAACTGGAGGAAACATCATCAGGGTAGACCAGCTTTCAGAACCTGAGCTATTATTATATAGCATTTATATCCTTTGAAACATCTTATCAAGCTGTGTTTGTGATGACCCAAACTCTTCTGACTCACAACTTTAGTAGTTCATTCGTGCAAAATTATGATGAAATACAGAGTTTGCTACGGAGAAGGAAGCAGCTATAGGAAGGCTTGCCCATGAAGTAATTTGCAGTAAAGCAGCTAAATCCCTATTGGCTGAGTTCACAGTGTTCTATTCCTCTTTAATTTCTTTCCCATTTTTTTCATTCCTGTGCTGATGGAATAACAGATCTCAGTATTAATACAGGAAGACTTTACCACATACAAGAAAAATGGCAAAGAAAGAGACAAAAGCTGATAAAAGGAAATCAGCATAAATATCAGCATTCACATTTACCCTCACTGGGTTGTGTCTTATATCCATTTAAATGTCGATAGGGTGGTTAAATTGCATTCCAGTTTGAGAAGCATTTGCATTGAAATGGCACTGTAAGGTTTTCTGTTTATTGACTCTCAGTAACTGATGCAGCACGTGTGCTCCCTGGAGAAGCTGTCTCAATCTGAAGCCCATAGATCCATTCCAAGAGCCAAGTGGGACGGCTTCCAAAGCATCTCTGGTGGAAGCTCTGTGAGACCCATTTTGCTCTCAAGAACTTGTGCAAAGTTACTGTGCTTAACACATCTGAATGCAAATTGTGACTGGAAGTTTCTAAACAATTTTACCAAGTCTAATTCATTCTCTATAAGCTAGTATGATTTCTGCAAGCTAATAGGAGGAGGAGGAGGTGAAATAAGATTTTTCCTCTCTTAAGTTAAAAGTTTTCCTCTCTTAAGTCTCTATGTRTATTTGGAATATACATAGAGAGTGCACATTTTAGTAAGATAACAACACTCTAATGTTGGAACAATAATGATTTAACTGTAAATAGTAAATCCAGCCTGGAATACAGAGCAGGGTTGGTAAGAAGAAGGAGGTCTGGAACAGAACTAACTACTTAGAGGTTGTTTAAGGTTCCAATCCTTTTATGAACAAGTTATATAATATATCTCCTTGTGATAGAAGGCTTGGATGAGATGTTTGGCAGTCCTTTCTTTGCAATTCTCATCTTATAACAAAACCATTGTGAATATGTAGAAACTTTTTAGCACTTACTAGATTGACTTAATAATCTGGAATTGCACTACCAAAGGAGTGAGTCCTTTGCACAATGGTGTATGACTTGAAAAATCTTAGGGAGTAGCTGTGTAATTTCTTTCATCTCTGCTTAGTGTGTGTCAAGGAACTTTGTGAAATCATTTGATTAAGCAACTGGCAATTTTAAATTTGTTTGGTAGTCTTCAACAGAGAATTTATACTGAAAATTAAGAATTAATTTTCTCTCTTATAATTTGAGTTCCTTTTATGTTGACTTCAGTATCATGAGCCCCAATTATCACATACACATAGCAGCAGAATTACTTGTTATTAGTAGCTATATTGCCATGATWATGCATGTGCTGAATTAGAATAAGAGATTCTTTTGGTACTAGTTCAGTGAAAGTGAAATTCCAGGAGATAGATCACTTTCAAAATAAACAATTAGTGACTAATGTGCTGTCGTTTAAATGTGTGTTTACTGCACACATGATGTGTAAAGGATGAAGTTTGCTCCCTCATTTCCTCCCAGCATATGATGTATTRTTCTTTGAAGTGGTAGGGGTTCCTCACCTCCTGCTGCACAATTTTTATAGTTTTGTTTCATGAAACGTTCAGAGAACTCAGACTAATTCTGCTGAGGAAAAGCAATGAAATAAACTGCGAGGTGGTGGTATTTTATGTGGAAAAATCA